AATATTAATGATGTATATGGGTAATTCACTTGGTTGCCAATAGCCATCTTGACTTCGTATCAAATACGGGTACGAATCATACATACCCGTATTTTATATGTATTGGAGAATTTGTTGAGCTAGTTATTTTAAAAATTACTTCGTATTAATTTTAATTTACTGTTAATCGCTTTGTTATTGTTATTTTTTTTTTCTTTTCATTTTTAATGGTTTTTATCTTATTTGTAGAATTAGACTCAATTTCTATCAAACTGTAATAATAATTTCATCAAATAAGAGCTCCTTTTTTTTTTTTTTTTTTTTTTTTTTTTTTTTTGGGGTATCTAATCAAACCTATTACTTGTATAATTTCAAGTTGAGATTTTAATATACCAAAAGAAGATATTAAGCCAAAGGAAAGAGTAAAATTCATAGATTCCCAACATTATCCCACCACCTCAAAATCTCAAATGTAAGTTACCTGTATAGTCTATACCACATACAAAATATTTATTTAAAACAATATATAGGAGAGATACAAAACCCAACTTAATTTTACACAACACAACACGTACTATTATCATCGGATATATTTAGGAGTTTTCCTCGTGAGAAGAGATCCCTAATGTTTTACTTTTTCTTACCTTATTACAAAAATAAAAAAACTCACCAAATATCCACAAATAAACCCTTGTCTAAACTTTACATTGCAACAATAGTATACTGTAAGAAACAAGTAAAACATACTTTGTTTTATCATATCATAAGCCTCTTGGTTAAGTGGTGAGGATTGGAGGAAGCTCACCTTTAGCCCCAAGAACTTTAGCTTTTGTATCAGGGAAACACTGCCATCCAGGAAGCTCAACAACCTCTCCTTCTTCGGTGATTGCGATAGGATACGTAAGCAAATGTCCAGGAAGATCATGTTCCAGGGTCTCGGAAGTGTATAGATCCCAGTACTTATCCGCGGTCTGGTTCACTTTCCTTACACATTCTACACTCTCTGGCTCGAGGAACACATCATCGAGCTTGCCTAAATGCTCATACCACAATGACATCCTGAAGCCATGAACTTGACCTCTAGCTGGCTGATTTCTGCGGGCAATATGGTTTGGTTGGTACGCTCCCATAGCTATCTCTGAGTCCCTGGCTCCATTCATTGACCTCTCGTTTATGTTGGCAGAACCAACGATTATGTACTCGTCATCAACTAACACAAGAACACAATTATCATCAATAGTTATCATATACGTCGTAGTAACTTATACTAAATACAAGTACAAATTAAAGCTAAGGTCTCTTGACAAAATTTAATAAGATTAAGCTAAGGTCTCTTTAACATTCATCATTTGAGCATTATTTAGAGATTATTCATGTAATTATCCTCAATGTAGTATAAATTTCAGTCTAAGATTGGCATTTAGGAACTTGGTTAGTGTAGAATTTGGAAATTTGAGACTGTTATATTGGAGTAAGGAGTTACCTATCATCATCTTAGCATGAACATAGATCATGAACCTTCGAGCAGCCTGTGCTCGGCTATAATCAGTATCAGGTTCCGGACTCTCTGAAGGCTCGTATTCCCCAGGCTTCTTCACTTCGCGATTACCTAGACAAAAGAATGACAGGTACTCCCTGGGGTTAGCTTGGACCCCGTGAGCTCGAAGTGCCTGAATCACATCAGTATACATCATTTCCATAGTTCTCCTCTGCCAATCGAGTATAGCCTGAACAGAACCGCTCTCAGGAAAACCCTCCGGCCACATAGGCAAGACAACATACACAGTAAACCTCTCTCCCTTTTCAATCTTACTAACAATCTTTAAGGACAGTTCTTTAGGGATGAGATTCAGGGCTTCAATAGCAGCAGGCGTTATATCTGTAGCTTTCCAACCAAATGAACTCCCTAGGAAGTACTGATTTTCGATGTATATAAACCTCTTTGCCCTTCGTATAGCATTGATATAAGCATCCTGAATGCTTCGATCAATGATGTTGTCTTTTCCACTTATAAGCCCTGCTTTTGCAGCCTCTTCAGGTTTATCAGGGAAAAATGCAGCCCCACCATCTATGGATCGAAAGACTTGAACATTCCAAGTTTCCGGATCATTAGGGTATGTTACAGGAGATGGAGGAATGAATGTTGAGTTCATTCCTCGAAGGTCAAGTAGAAGATCCTTAGTACCTTGCTTCCTCCATCTTTGCTCAAAATTATAGAGGACATCCCAAGCAGCAGGCCCCTCTAGCTTGCAATGAATGTCATGCCATGGCTCTCGAGGCCCACCTTTATTGATCGAGGCACCATTGAAGTTGGCCTGATGGAAATCATCATGGTGTGCAGTGGCAAGAGTCCTAAAGAGAGAGTGAAATTGAGTGTCATAGCGCCCATCACAAAGATCTATACCTCCAACAAAGCTCATGATTCTTCTCTTATCAGGATTTCCACTAGGCAATGAAGTATCAACAGCAACAATCTTTTGGTGGTGGGTGAACATCGTGCCAATCTCTATGTTCTGAATGAAACTCCTCCCATTATCAGGGTTCCGAGGGCATAATACACAATGCACTTCAGTACCTGAGAAAAAGTTTGCTGTCTCTTGATCGTGGGTGGCCATCAGTCCGTCCTCATTCAACCCTTTTACGGAAGTCCTATCATCCCAAACAAGCATCAAAACTCTCACCCCTTCCATTGCTTTCTTCTTAAGGAGCTCGCCTAAGGTCATATCTCCACCCGGTTTTGGCCTCCTAGTATCCCTTATTAAGGTGATCGAAGTGTAAACTGACCAACCTGCTATGTAAATCAAATGCCTGGCATTAGTAATAGCATCAAAGATGTCTTCCCAACAACGATGTGGCTCATAATAGTTCCCACCCGCGAGAGGGATCCTAGGGACAAAATTGTCAGGAACATGGGCATCTTGATACAGGGTAACCTTGCATTGGTTCCTTTGAGTAAAATAAGTGTAGGGTACCCCAGGGAATTTGGGTGTTTTAATCCCTTTATCCCAATTCAAATCTCTAGTGACATCAAAGAATTGAACCTTGACATGGACTTTAGCCCCTTTGTGTATGGGTTTGCGATTCTTGTCAAGGATATCAAGCCATACATCGACCTCATCTCCACCTAAGATGTCGGAAACAGGGAGATAAGCTCTTCCAAGAAGGGTTGCTCCTATGGCTTCGTCTTCTTTCAAAGTAAAGACAACATCTGAAGCCATATGGCCACAGTAGATGTGGAATTGTTCGTACCATCTGGGGTTTGGATCGTTTTCTATAAGTTTTGTCCGGCCAACTCTTGCTCCTTCTATATCAACTGTGGCATAAAGTCTCCCTGAACCTTTTCCTATCACATTTTCAAGGCCTTCTACCACCTGCAACAAACAATTCACACACAACATGTCACTAATAAACGAAATAGAACAGAAAAGGACCGGTCACATATAAGATACTAAGATTATAGAGGGAAAAAGTTCTGTTTTAAGAGCTAAGATGTGACTTCTAAGCCATTCTAGAGATTGAAACAGCTTCCAGATTAACTGATCTTGACTGAGTCTATGGGTGAGACGCGAAATAAGTCTATTCAATTCACGCTAACAGTATATTACATAATAAGTCTCAACAAACAAATACGTAGTATGAAGTATCTCTATCTCATGAGTCACTCCTCAACAATAAAACAAGTCGTCTCAAGACCAGCTGATTGCAGCAAAAATAAGTTGTGAGACCGATCTCATCATACAACTATAATTCTAGCGGCGAAATGCCTCTGCCTATTGCTAGAAATTTGTTTGATCACCTCACATGAATGATGCAAACTACAATATCCCAACAGTAAAAATCAGTTTCTGCTTCATAGTTCAGAGAAATTTAAAGTTCAAATGCTTCATTATTATACATATGCAACAAGCTATGATCAATCAAATGATCCAGAATTCACAAATTAAGTTAAGAAATTATTAATCTGATCATATATATCCCTCTTCATTTTTAAGAATCTACATTTCTGTAACAAATGAACTCTTTTAATTATTTCTTCCACAATTCAGATCAGATGAACCCGATTCGGATTTCGTACACTTAACAGATTATCAAGCATATTCAAATGAATGATCCTCAGAAAATAACATATATACTGTACATAACTTTAACCGTATATGTTTACATCATCAAAATATGCATTAATAATATGAATTTTTTTTGTATGTCACCGACAAATCTTTTAGATCAAGCAAAGAAAAGACAGCAACAGTCCAAATATGAGCCACAAAATAATAGCAGAACTGCTAAAAATCAGCTGAGTTTAATCTGATAAAATTCCATTGCAACTTCCAAAACTACTATTATAATTAAACATTTCATAACTTAATTAAACGTGATTAGCACTAATAACTCAAATTATGAAATATATGCAGATTCAACTATTCAAGGTATGCACATACTTTGTGGAGAAATCTGCCACCACCACCACCAAACAATCGAGTCGCCTCGTAAATGGTAACATGAAGAACACCATGTAATAGTATCTTCGCCATATTATATCAATCAATCTAAACCATAAATAATTGTATAAAATAAGAAAACGTCATTATTAAGCAATAATAACAACATTTTGTAGCAAATTTATCACATTAATTATATACTATATCTATATGATTTTATTTTTACCTGAATCAAACCAATAGTAATCTCTGAAATTCTGGAAAATGAACAGAATTACAAGAAAGATTTCTGTCTTTCTGAACTTCAGAATGTTAAAGAAAAAGACTGAATATAAACCAAAATAATACTATATATTTAAGAGATTAATAAAAGATGAAAGTTGATCATATAATTTATAAAGTATGCATTTTTTTTTCATATAAATGAAGAAAAAGTATTGCAGGGATAATTGGAGATTAGTGAGTATAGAAGAGGATTATAATATCAACTTGGATATCTTATGGTTTTTTCAAAATTGGGATTGAATTATATTATTGGCATTGATTATATGTAATATTTTGATTGGTTGATTGACTGTTTAGTTTATGGGATATGCTTGTGGATGAAAACTGGCCCATAAACGGGGAACGCGTGGGGACACTTTGGACCCACCATTCGTGAAAAAGATATTTAACCTCATTTTTTAAGTTTTTTTTTCTTTGATGTAATGATAATTCGCTACTTAATGACATTATATGTGGAGAATTATAGTTACACTACTTTGAATAAAGTTCATGTTCTTGTCAAAAAAAAAATTCATGTTAATATTCTAGAAGTATAAATAAAGATGAAAAGAGTACAAAGATTACAAGATTAGTTCTAGAAGAAAAGCATATTAGTATAACTAGCTTTTTATTCCGTATGAAAGAAATGAAGATTTGGTAACAAAAGAGAGGAATGTAGGTTCTTTTTACTTTAATATCATCTCTCTTATTTTATTTGTCGTGAATTTATCTATTATAATTTTTTTTTTTGAAGGATTATCTATTTTAAACTTATTATTTCTTATGTTTTTTTTTTTCCTAAACTAATCAATCTTTATCTTATACAAATATCATTAAGTTTACCGACTTTATTGTGCATTATGTAAAATGTTAGGTGAGTACAACGGAGTCAAAACAAAACCATTGGAATATACACAGTACTCTAATTTTACAACATACGGATTAATGGATTATGAATAGAGACGATCATATTAATTAGTGTACTATTTACTAGTATTAATCGGTACATTAATAGGATGGTAATGAAGTAATCATTTATCTATTGAAAGTACTCGTAGTAATTAGTCCAACAAAGTTACATAAATAAAATGGTAGGGACCCACCAATCCCCACTTTTGGAAAAAGCAAAGCAAAGTAAAAGAGTATGTTCATACAAAAAGGATTTTCAACCATACAAGTAAGACGAAACAGATTTTCAAGAAGACAACAAAAGTCACTTGGAGAAAATCAGGGATGTTTAGGAATCCTATGGCTCTGAATTTTTGTGTCTATACAAAGTACCAAGTTAAAATATGATCATTTGAAGCATTAAGCATATACATTACTTGAATAAAGTATTAATTTAGAAATACATAGCAAAATTATACGTTTATTAGTTTAATTAATTGCTTTGTATGTTGATTTGACTTATTGTTTCCATTTTTGATACTACTCCATATCATTTTTCTGATTGTATATTTGATCGTCATGACAGATGATGAATCAATCAATGAGTGAGCATTGCATCAAGTAACCACTAAGAAAAAATAAAATTAATCCCATCACTTAAGATTCTCACACGTACACATTTGGATGCTTGGATACAAAAATAATAATGTTTTTTTTTTTTTTTTTGTTTTTTTTTTAATTTTTTTTTTGGTATATGTCACTAGGGCAGTTGCAAACTTGAAATACTTTGCATTTGGATGTATTACCTTACACCTATGCAGAGAATTAGGAAGAATTGGTTGAGAAAATTTCATTATTGGACTCACTGACTTGTGCATTTTAACATAAAGAAAGACAAGTTGTAAAGGCGACTTGGCTGGTCTAGATGGGTTAAGCCAGGTCACAAGGCAGGCGAAGATGGTGGTTTGAGATTGGGGACCGAATTACGCTGCAGCTAGGCTGGGCAGGTTATGGATCGATATTACTCGTGTGAGCATTAAACAGGCCACTATAATGGTCTACTTATTTCTTTATGAACTTGCTTAGAAAGATTGGGTTAACAGGTGGCAGGCGGGAAGAAATGAGCTCAAGCTATTTCACCTTGAATTGCCTCTAACCAGTCTTAGAAAGTAAGAAGTGGGCTCAAGCTAACCTAGAGTTAAAATGACTAATATCTCTAGGTCTGCCTCTATTACATATTTAGATACAATCCACAACATATAAAAAAGATGAAAGAAAATGAAAGCTTATCATGCAGGAGAAATCACTGCTATCTTTTGAAAATGTGCTCAGCTGATGTCTGTCTGATCAAAAAAGGAATTCAAGCAGCAGCTGAAGCTGTTTACCATGTTTACAAGGTAATTAATCTACAGAAACACGGTGGGTAGAGGTGTCAGGAATGATGTCTTGTGCTTCCTGAAGAAGAAGTTCGATGTCAACTTTGGGATAGTGTTGTAGAAGATATAAGTTGGCTGCAAAATCTCCATTTAGCAATGTACTCTTTATGTGTATAAGCATTGCACAACATACGCGCAGAAGCATGTCCTGGGTGAAAAGGAAGCAGCATTCTAGTTAAGTTTGGTTGCACGTGGTCTTGGGAGAGTATATATAAACCCATACCCCCCCCCCCCCCCCCCCCACCAACACCTCCCCTTTCAACGGTCTCTTTATTATGCCCCTAAATTTTTCTCCAAACTTGGATTTATTACCCTTTGGTCGCAGCACTAACACCCAATGTAGATACATAGCTTTTGTCAGAGAAGATGATCAATTCAGAAAATTTCAAATGATTATGATGTTTATAGGAAGAGCAGATATCCCAACCAAGGGTTACTGGGATGAAATTTCATCTTTGGCAAGTATACCAAACAGTCCTTGAAATTGAAATTAGAAAGAGAGACTACACACCTGAACACCGGAAGGATGACTTAAAAGTGAGTCCCATATTCTCAAAATGGTATTGAATTGAAATTCCTGAGTCAATAGCAGTGTGATCCATCTGAATGCATAAAATTGTGGATTAACCTGCACAATCAAAAGCTAAAATTTAATATAAAATGGTTACTCGACACAAATACAGGAAAATATAGCTCTGGATTTCCTCACAGAAAACAAATTCTTGCTTCTGTATTACTTGTTATCTATCATACTGACATACCTTGGTCGTAAATTCAAGATGCTGCCAGAGCTCTTCATCATTGACTTTTAGCATCTCTTGGAGTCTTGATAGGGTCGAGTGGATTCCTACAGAGCTATTATTGTCCAGCTGTTGGCAAAAGTGATCCACTGAATCACTCAATAGTCGAACAAAGCAACCGAAACTATCAGCTTCCGCATTGGCCTGCACAACATGATATCAACTCAGAAAAATGTGAGCTTCACCGGAAAACAGAAAGACAATGAAGAGATAAAAGAAAAAACACATTAGTCATTCATTCATGAAAAGAATTCAAAATGACCCGAATAGATGTATATCTGTCCTTAAACTTTTATACTTATAAGGTCTTTTTTTACCTATTATGGCAAATAGAGTTTAAGCCCTATCATATCCAATCTTAATAAAGGAGTAGCCAAACCCCTTCTAATAAATAATGATACTGGTCTAATGTCTCACCCTTTTGACATTTCAAGTTTCAACAGTAATCGACTTATGTCAACTAAGATAGGTAGAAATGCAAATCACTAACAAGGAGGAGATTGTAAGGATGAGGCTACAAAATAATTGTCACAATCATATCAGGAATTAGACAGCAAAAATCTACATAATTACAGAGCCTAGTCGACTAATCCCAGTACTATGGGGATACAAAAAATTTGTCGCACTTATATCAAGAATCACACAACAATACCTACACAATAACAGATCCTAGTCAACGAATCCCAGTTCAAAAACACCACATATATATATGTTCCCATCTGAACTGTCCACATTTTACTGTCAAGCCCATAAATCTGGCTAACACTCGTCGGCCAATACTAACCTAATATCTATTAATGGCACACAAATGTTGAATTCCTGATCCCAATGTTTAATTATGGACGCTTTCATGGCTATTACATTTGGCATAAGCCTTTGCACAAGGATTACCCTTGCAGGCTTGTATAAAATCCTAATCAATTTTCAGGAAGAATCTTCCAAGCATGGTATTTGCAGGCAAGAAAATTCCCTGTTTCATGTCCTCTGTAGATTGATAGCCAATAAGTAAGTGCAAAAAGGTTTCCCACAACTTCCTTTGATATTTCTTCTGGATTCAAAGTAGATTTAATTGGCTTTTTACCCTAAGAAATTGGGTCTATTTAGACCATTATCAGTCCAATTTTATTACTACACTAGTTTTGTATTTATTGAATTTTAAAATAAAACTTATTATCAAAAATATATATGTTATTTGAATTTTTTACTCATGGATTAATAATTACTTAACAATCATACTTGTCCGTTTATGGGTATTTTATGGATTAATAATCAATTGACAATCTAAAAAAATTAGAACTAATAATGTACAACAAAAAAAACGGTTGTCTAAAGCTGTGATCTCTTTTCATTTTCTCTGAACATCTAAGGAAAGGGTGGTCGCATGTTAAAACTTAATAGAACAATTATATATAATAACAGGTCTCTTTGATTTTTTATTTTTTCGTTTTGTAACTCTCTGTATCCGTCATTTGTATAGGAATATTGGTATTTTTATTGAAAATAAAATTCTAAACCAAAAGTTTTATTGAAAATAAAACTCTAAACCAACTTTTTTATCCTACTAAATCATCCAAATTTTATTGAAAATAAAACACTAAAATAACTTTTTTATTCTACTAAATCTATCCAACTTTTTTTTATCCTATTCTACTAATAATATATTCAAATAAATCCTACATGTCATATTAATAATTAATTGTCGCCTACGTGGCGCGACACTTGGCGAAAAGTTGGAATGCCAAGTGTCGCTATCTCGTGACCTGGCTAAAAGTTTAGTTTTATATATTAGTTATATGATATTACATAAGGCCCAAACTTGATATGTCAGACCCTGGAAAGCTGCTCAATAGTAAAGGAGATTTCTCTGTACGACTCTACTTTGTTGGAAAATATTCAGGACGAGTCTCTTAAGTCTTAACAATAACTTGAGGACTTTGTCCAAGGTGGTAGACCAAAAAATTGGTGTCATACAAAGACTTAATAGCTTATGTCACTGGGAACCTTCACCATGCCTTGAAATCTAGAATAGTCATCGAGAGAAGCTAAATACAAGCTCAATGCTTAAAAAGTAAAGCTAATGAGAAGGGTAAAAGGGTCTCCCACTTTGCATCAAACAATGTTAAATACACATCTATATATAAAGAAAAGTAAACACATTCTTACAGCATTTTACTCGACAGGATCAGTACTAAATACATAGTATATTGGTGCCAAAATCTCATTCATCCCTTGGACATAAAGAGTTGTAGGATTGAGCTTAGCGAATAAAAGAAGTATATTCCTCATTGACTCCTGAGTTAACATAAACAAATTAGCATAAAAGAAGTGTTATTGGCACAAATACACCCAAACATATGTGGTACTTGCAATCATGGTTCATGACGTGGTTTTCTAAAATCAAAAGAAAAGAGGAGGGTGTGGCTCATACCTTCTTTTTCAGGCTTGATGATGTAAAAAACTTCAAATCTGGGTGTGTACGTTGCAGATCACGGTCAATTTGCTCTGCAATCTCTGTGAACTGAAAGCATACAAGTTGTTGAAATCATAAAGTATTACGGCCAAGAATAAGTATCATGGTTTCTAGTTTAAGAAGGAAAGATACCTCAAAATATTTTTGCCAGGCACTAGTTTCACCAAGGCTTAGTGGATGATCATCATCAGATACATCATGCCGTCTAAGTAGCCCATCACCATGCTCACCTGAACTTGAAGTTTCTTCTCCACTTGAAAGTTGTAACTGTCTACATAAAACAAAATTGTTAGGTTATTACAACAATGCCGCAAAATTAAGTTTCTTGATATAATCTTGCAATATTTCAACTTTCAACAAAGTTAAAATTCTGATCTTACAGGACTTAGCAAATATTCTTCTTTGAGCTTTGTATATTTTACACGATTCTCACTCAACACTTTCTGCCATGAACCTCTGGAGGGAGGTAGATAACCCAAGAGAAGCTGCTAGCAACAGATTACAGTATGAGGGCTTATGACGCTTACATCACAAGAATTACCAAAAACACAAAAAAATAAAGCTCATTGCCAGTTATTAGAAACTCAGTTTAGACCCAAAAAAAAAAATGGTAAAGAAGTTCTAACAAGAAACTCCACATTTTGTCAGTTATAACTTATTCAACCTTATCGAAGAACCAACCAATCAACACCAAAAAACACTATTCAGAATTATCCTTGTTGGCTTGTTGCAGATGTCAAGCATATAAACTAACGTACTTTAAGATAGTTTAAACTATCCAGTCCAATGCCAAAATTTAATTTAATTACAACAGCAGTCCACCATGTCTGATGCCCTTAACATGTGCCTATGGAGTTCAAAATGTTACATCTTACATGTATACAACCGAACCCCTTAGTCTGTCTATTAAGAAGTCATAACTCAAAAGTAACATGAGAAGGTAAATTCAAGTTATGTCTAATGATTGATAAGTAGGTATCTATGTCTTCAGAACTATTATAAGCAAAAGCACATCCGGTGATTTTCTCTTACTAAATGCGTTCTTATCTTCCATGACACTATAGAGAGGTAAGTGAGTTCAAACTACCAATGCTTGTTGCTTAAACAAGAACAACCAAAATATACTTGTATATGGAACTGCTCAAGCAGCAAACAACATACTTAGAAGTTATACCTACCATTAAAATAAGAGCTTGTTTGCTTTAAGCTCAATTAAATTAGCCTATCGTGCGAGCACTCTCAGTGGCATTTCAAAAACACTAACCTTCCAAGTAGTTGCACGAAGACTTCCACCATTTGGTATCCCAGTACTAGCAATTCTTTGCAACTTTTCCAAATTTATCTCCTCTTGAATCAACTATCCATCAAACATAACGAAACCTCAATCATTCAACCAAAGCAATTCAGGAAAACAAAATACTTCAAGCAAAACCCAAAATCAACCCATTTGTGATTCAACTTACAAATTGAACTAAGCCTTCAACATTACTCAAATGTAACAAAACCAATCAAGATTATAAATTCACAATCAAGATCCTACACCCGGTTGCACGTCATGCTCCCGGCTACATGTTCATTTCATTACACCTGAAAACCCCTTTAACAAACAATACATGATATAATAATATCAACTAGTTTTTAAGCCCGGGTGATGCCCCGAGTTACTGCATTAATTCCATGATTGAAATCTTTATTTTCATTTAATTTCGGTAAAATGACATCTAATGTGGTGATAGACTTCAATTTTCAAATCTTATACAGTTCACATTTTTAAGCACGCTACGTGACATTTAGGCTTGCTTAGGAACTGAGGAGGGCGCCACGTGACATATAAGTTTGTTTAGAAACGCCTCTTAATATATATATAGCATAGATGAGGTCTTGGCCTAGTGGCAAAGACGCACGTGTACGATATTTCACAGGTTCGAATCTCCCCTCCCCTCCTCCATTGAAAATTTGTAATTTGTTATTTGTAATGCCTTGTGCTCATTAAAAAGAAAAAAAATGATAAAAACCACTCATAGAAAAACTACAAAACCAACCCCTCATACCAAATTAAACAACAAAATGCAGCAAGAATTCTTCAATATTACAAAAAAATTCAACAGAAACCAACAAAAAAAATTCAGAAAATCCTAATTGTCATTTCTTTACCTCATACTCAAGATCAGACCTTTTTTCATCCTCTTCCCCAAAATTCCTCAAATTGGGATTAAACCCATCTTGATGAACCCGGGTTCGAACCCTAACCACTTCCCATTCCTCCTCAATTGGTTCAATTGAATCTTCATTGGACCATCCGAACCCAAGAGGGTGCAATATTTCGAGCTCCTCACCCAAATCTAACCCGGGTTCGGACCCTGAGGTTCCAGGATGGTCTGATAACACATTACGAGGTGACTCGGAGAGATTAAGCTTTTTTCTAAGCATGGGTTTGGTGACTCAGTTTTGGGACTGAGTTGGACGAAAATGGAGTTTGTGGGTATGAAAGAGGAGAGAGAAAGATGGGTTCTTTGGCTTTTTTGCAATCCATGACTCGGTTGTTGACTCAGTGGTTCTCTGAAGAAAGGTAGGTTTTTCTGTTATAGACTTATAGGTATCGTTGAATGGTAGGAGCCTAGGAGGGGTCAAGGTTAACAGAAATGTGTCCCAAAGAGGAAATAAATCCTCCTATATAAGGGTAATTTAGTCAATTTATATCACAAATATTTTGCGATTTTTTTTTTTTGTAGAGAAAGTTACAAAAGCAATGATGTAGATGGAATTTAATTTAAAGTTTTGAATATCACCCTTACTTTAACTAATTAAGCTAGTTGATCATCCACTCCTCAAGTTGTTTTATAGATTATAAGATTTAAATGGGACGTTTTCCCAAACTAAGCCCTATTTGCAAAGTATTTTGCAAAATAGATTCGTGGCAAAAGTATTTACCAAACTAAGCTACATGGTCGGGCAGCGTTTTATAACCTGGATTTTAAAAAAAGTATGTTGACTTTTTTTAAAAAAAATCGTAATTTTTAATTTTAAAATAAAAAAAATTACACTAAAAACGCTGTCTTTATTTTAATAAAATCAGAAATTAACAATTAAAAAAAAAATTATCCTAAAAACGCTGACTGAATAAGCATTTTAGGATAAGTTTTTTTTTTTTCTAAGATAGAAGAGATGGAGAGTGAAGCAGCTCCTTACATAGGAATGTTAATGGCGGAATTTTGCCAAGTTAGACTCATGATTATCAACAAACAAGCTATGAATACTGGTATGACTACTTTCGTCTTCGTCTCCTACTCTAATGCTATTGCGTCCCTCCATCCTCCTTCCTTTCTCTCTCTTCCTTCACAGGTCTCCTTCCTTTTCTCTCTCTTCTTTCCAATTTTTTTTTTTTTTAAAAATTATTAATTTCTAAAAAAAAAACCTTATCCTAAAAACGCTGACTAATTAATATTTTTTTTAAAAAAAAAATAAATTGAAAATTGCGAATTTTTTTACACTTTGAATTTTTTTAAAATAAATTCAGGTTATAAAACGCTGTTCGAGACAACATTTTACCTTAAAAGCTTAGTTAAATAAGACTTAGTTTGGAAAAACGTCCATTTAAATGTGTACAATACATGCTTTACTTTACAATAAGCATGTAACAACTCATTATATGCTACTTGTTGTAATCCTATTATTCTTATACAATGCTACTTGTTGTAATCCTATTATTCTTATACATAGTATGTGAACTTGATAATTATTGACCTATTTTTCTTTGTAATTAATTTCACTTCTTATATCATCACCAGTGTTTGAAGATAGCAACATACGTAATTTCTACTATATATACGTAGGATTCAAATTTAATACGAGCTACAAGTTCAAGGTTTATAATACGAGCTCTTAGACAAAAGCAAGTTCTCTCAAAGAACATTAATTAACTCCATATAAGACCACTTCCAATGGTGGACAAAAATAATGCTCGCCCAATATCTCTCTACCCACTTTCTCTCTCAACAAATCAGTTTGTCCATAGACAATTTTTTTTCACAATTTCTCTCTCAATGGTGAGCAAAAATAATGTTTGCCCACCACTCTCTCTCTTACTTTTTTAATACCCCACCATTACTTTCTCTCTCCTACACAACACTTCTTTATTTATTAATTTCATTTATATTTTAACAATATTACTCCAAATAAATAAAAACTACTCTAAATTTGTGTAACTTATTTTTTTTATTTGTGTCGTTTTTATCGGTAAAATATGTCGTTAACTTATGTACGTTAGATGAAATAATTGTAACAAAACGCTAAAAATTTCGTAAATGTTTTTATTTATTTTAAAAAGCGGTACAGTACTATAAACCGATTACATTTGAAACGTCATGCATAATAATTATTTACCTGAAAATCGGTGAAATACAACAAAAATCTTTTTCTAATTTCGGAATATTTAGAAAAATAAAGAATATGGAGGATTTATGGTATTTCTGAAATTATACCAAAATATACCAAAATGCATGTCTATTTATAGAGATTTAAATTTTATGACCGTTGGTATTTTTTTTTTTTTTTAATAAAAATTTATTTCAGAAATTACATTACAAACATTATTACCGTTGGAAACCGCTACAATTTTCCTATTGGCCAGCTTCCTGCACCTGCCACGTGGCGCTCCAGCATTCGTCCATTGACTGACGCGTGTCAGTCCACTTTTTTTTTTCTTTTTTTTTTTCTCCATAAAGCCCAGATCAAAACGCTGCGTTTTGATCTCGCTTCTTCATCGGTGCAACATTAAACGCATCGTTTTGATGCTGCCTCCACCGATTTTTTTTTATTTAAATCAGCAATATGTGGGGCCCACCATCTAACTGTTCAACCAATTTCTGCCCAAGTCTTGGGCATTTTAACACATGCCCATGGGCAACTAATACTTAGCCCACCATTGTAACCCAATTTTTCACATGCTTGCCCACCAAAATGCCCATGAGCAAAAATAATGCCCACCATTATGGGTGCTCTAATTACTCTATGTTATGTAATCTCTATGGAATTTGAAAATGTTGTCAAATAACATTCTTTGTATTATATACAAGTATCAGTTAACGTTAGATCTCTTGATATTTATGGATAAAACTATAAATCCATCTATTATTATTTCAAACATCCATCTATTATAAAGAGCCTTTTATAAAGAATACAAAGTACTTCGTATAAAATACGAGTATAATTCTAGATGTATGGAAGAAATAATAACTAATGAAATTACTATAATATGCCACATTCAATTTGTGATTTAAGGAGCCCTATGATATCTCTCTCAAACAAAATTAAAGGAGTTGGGATTTGCATGCTTTTGCCATTCTTGAAGGGATTTTTGTGCAGATTGGCCACTTTCTGACTACATGTATCAATTAATTTATTTATTTATTTTTTTTTTTTTTTTTTTTTGACAGGATCAATTAATTGTACTTGGTGGCATGTGTGTTATAAGCTACTGCTAGAGAATGACTATAAGAACAATATTTACTTAGATTATCAAAGATTTACTTACTTTTTATGTAATTTTACAAGAAAATTCATGTACCAATTCATGAAGATCGAATTGAATAATGTATACATGAATATACATCATCTTCAGTTATTGCTGATTCTTATATTACTCCACCCTCTATATAAGATGTGGATATAAATCAGAAGAGATATATATTATATCCAATTTGATTGCGAAATTTATTTCATATATTGGCATTCACATGAGATTTACATACAATTTTATTGGTGGACACGACAGATAAGAATTTTTACAACTATCTTTTTGCGGTGAGACAAGAATATATGGCTTAAATTGAAAAACGATTGATATATACTGCCATACATATGAACAAAAAACTATCTTTTTCTTTAACAATAAATTTGTTTCATGGAATTGTACACTGACAATGCTAATAAGTATCAAGATGGGACATTTGCTCAAATTCATCCATAAAGTTTGCACCTATAATATGTCTGGTTTGTAATGTAACAAATTGGCTTAAATCATTCTATAAAATCTCTACGGTATAAGTATTGCCGACGACAACAAATTAATTGGCACTATATTTCATAATTGAGAGTATACGGAGTTTATAATACTTCGATATAGTAATACGTATATATATTATTTCTAATTCATGATAGCTACTTCCTTAATCCTAAAATATTTGAAACGTAGATGTTGCTTGATATTTACGCTTTTTAATATCAATGAATAAGATGTAGTGTAAACAAAAGTAAAAAGGACAAGATTGAGCTTGTACTGTACAAATTAAAGGTAAAAGATACGATCTTTCGGTCTTTCCAGTATAATTCACATAATAGTACAATTCTAGCCACAATTGGGTAATTTTTAAGTGATTCGTAGTGTTCACCATGATGTACCTCACACTCAGCTGATTGTACACAAGATCAATGAGACGATGAACCCTTTTTCAAGCCTACATACCGGCGAATTAAAGTTAATTACCAACATTATTGAGTTTGTTACAAATCTTAAATCGTCTATATATCCTAAAACTTTTTTCAAAGACACGTGTTGTAATTATTTAAAGACTGAAATATTTACGTACATGTATTATTTTGTTGTACATGTAGCTAGCTACATAAGATTTCATTTAAGGATGTTTGAGTATCTCCCTTTCTATTACAACTGTGCTACCAATACTACAATCGTTCATCATAATGAAATAATGAAATTTGAGCTGGAAATAAACTTATCCAACTTAATATGTTTAGGCCCTCTCCAAGTCACAATGGGACAGTCCATAGTGACTCTTTGCACATTTATACGCCTCATATTTTATATATATAGCACGAAAATTAAAACATGCCTATAACATTATCTTCACATTTCTTTCTCACTCTTCTTTATGTATTTCTCTATGAATTTTCTCCATCAAAGTATAGAAAAGAAGTAATCGAAAGCAATAATGGTACATTCCAAGAAATTTCGAGGCGTTAGGCAACGACAATGGGGATCTTGGGTATCTGAGATTCGTCATCCTTTACTGTAAGCCTAAATTAAATTTCGTTCTAAGTATATTCGTAATATATTAAGATATCCTCCTCACGAAATTATATCATAATTTTATTACGGAGTATAAGCTAACTAACCATTTTATACATATATTTATTGTAACGTAGCTCATTCATCATGAAATATGGAATTCAATTATCGCATGCACATACATTCTTAATTTGTGCAATATTGCTAAAATGCTAGTTAATGATCCTCCATCTCTAATATTAATTCCTTTGTTATTGAATATGTTTCCTTTAATTAGGTAGGTTACATTTTTTAGACATAAGTATACAAATAATGTTAGGATTGTCTTCTCGTAAGATTGTATTTTAACTTTTTAGAATAAGAAAATAAGAGATTTTGTTGTCGGTAGTAGGTATACATATCTATTCATCTTATTGTTGAACCTTTTCAATGTAAAAGATTAACCACATTGACTTTGCCAACTTTGGTACCTCTAGATTAAAAGCTATCTTTCATTAATATGCAAATACGATTCATTAATCAGTCGATATGTAATTTAATTTATTTTTATTGAATTTTGTTACATTATTATAAGATAGTTGTCATATAAACATTGTTTTTTTCTTGCATGTGTCTCAATACAATGATCAAGTAAGAAGAGGGTGTGGCTAGGCACATTTGACACAGCAGAAGCAGCAGCAAAAGCATATGACCAAGCAGCAATTTTAATGTGTGGAAGAAATGCCAAGACCAATTTTCCACTTTCTCAAAATATAAATGTATTAGAAGAGCTTAATTACAATAATAATAATAAGCTCAACTACAAGAGTAGTAACCCTAATTCCCTAAAATCATCTTCCTCTAACACACATGAGAAGTTTTCCCAAGCACTTCATGCCAAGCTTTGCAAGTCCAACAAGGTGCCATCCTCGTCTCTAACGTGTCTAAGGCTCGACACTGAGAACTCCCACATTGGTGTATGGCAAAAGCGAGCCGGTCCAAGCCCTAATTCGAAATGGGTCAAAACGGTCACATTCGGTGATATTGATCATGAAGAGTGTAACAAAGAACAAGAGGGTCAAGAAGAAAGAGGAGCTTCTCCTAGTATTCGTAAATTTGGTAGAATTATTCATGATCATGATCATGTTCATGTGTTGGATGAAGAGGAGAAAGTTGCATTGCAAATGATAGAGGAACTTCTTAATAGAAATTATTGCTCTAACTAAACAAGCCTTTAATGTAATTAGGTTTGGGTCTTTAGGTTTGTTATAATTCAAGATATATGTCATAGTAATATATGAAGCTAAGATGGTATGCAAGAAAGTATTTGCTTCTTCTACATGACTATAAATTGAAGAACTAGGGATGCAAAATTACCCCGAAAACATAGTAAAATATATAAATATAATGGAGGGGTACAATTATAGATAAAGGCAAGTTTAAGATTGATTGGTCTTTATCAAAATGCTATGTACTAAGAAGTAACATACACGGAGTAATAAAAAATAACATAGTACTCCGTACAATTTTGCATGATTTTGGACTATTGGTTGGTAAATGACTTTTTAACTTATTGTACAATCACTAGACGGTAGACTATGTGCATATTCTTGGATAATGGTATCCGTGAATATTCTCATATTTTTGGACTGTACATAAAAATGTCTTCTTTTTTTTTTTTTTTGAAGGAAGAAGTGGGAATCTGTTAAGAAAGTGCAACACAAGTTCACAAGAATCACAACCCCTACAATAGATTACTACCTAGCTAATACCTACACAAGAATGTATAGTATAAACATGCATAAAGATGTGAGATATATACGGATCCAGTTAAGGAAATTGTGCTGCTGGGTTTGTAGAAACACGATTGAATCCAAATTTAGTTACAGGCCTTGTATTAAACTCAAGACCCAATATAATTTATAGCCTTAGAAACACAAAAATGACCAAACAATGCAAGCCATGGACTAGACTTCTATCGTTACAGATTTTACGGCCTTGTATTTAGGAGGGAAAAGGAATCCTCTCTCCCAGTAATTTAAGTTAGGTAGATTCGAATTTGTGATCTCAATGTTACAAACAACTTATTACATTCAAGCATTCTGCCTACTTAGTACTCCATAGTAATTAATTACAAAGTATAGGTTTTAACCATGAGTAAACCTTATACATAAACTAAATATACTCGAACATTTGACCGTACCTTACATGCTTTGACCTCAAAAACTCTTACTTTAAGTCTCATACACATTTATTCAATATCTTTTTTCATTAATCAATGTTATGATACATATATAAAACACATACATAGGGATAAAATATAAACTTATGACCACCAATAACATTGTTCCATGAAAGTGAACCATATTGTATTTTTATAACAATCCTTGATCAATCAAAACATTGTTGTAAGCAATTACATGACCGTCCAAACATGAAATATAACATCATGCACCGCAAAACACCAATGTCATTTAATTTGCTTGATAATAAAATATCTTTTTTCTTTCCTTTTTTTTTTCTTTTTTTGTTGTTGCAATTTTATTACAAGTATAAATAAATACTTTCGAAATAAGGATACCCCTTCAACCATACTAAGAGCCGGTTATGATTTGCTATGAACCACTAATTACACTTTTTGTGTGCTATTAAAGGTTAACATGAATGATTTGCTAATTATAAGCTAATGAAATGACAATTTGGATTCATATGTAATGAAAAGTTTCAAATTCTTATGTATGTTGTTACTCCATTTTAATTTTATCATGATTTATGACCAATTTAATTAAGCTTATATATAGTTTTCATTAAATGATAAATCTACTACAGTATTGTGTCTTCATCTTATGTGAATACTTAAAATTATATGTGCTCATGTTAAGTAATATAATGTTAGCAATCTTGCTATGATTTCAACGGATTTTGATAGGTTGACGTGCATTTGGATCTTTTAATTCCTATTTCAATGAGATTATAATTGGATTGTACTCTAAAGCATGTCATCATTTTTCTCTCTGTTGAAATTATAAAAATTCTAAGAGTATTTGACTAATTTTAGTTTAACATCTGTTCATTTCAAATCCTTCATACATCAATGCAACTAGTATCAAAAAAGTTTATACTACGTCTATTGATTTAAACTGGACCGTAAAATCTATAAGGGTAGTAGAAGCATAGGCAAACATTACATCAATCGATACATAATTTTGTCATATATTCCTATTTTAGTATTATGCTTACTCCGTATTAACTTGATAAATAAGGGGTATAAAACTTCATTAAACCAGGCTCACGTCAAAATAATGCTTGCTTGGGCACATGTTACAAAAGGCCCACCAGGCCCAATCTATATACTACTAATTTACTAAATAAATTTATCAGAGCCCAAGTGTAGGCCAATGTTTATTGTTTTTGCTTCCTAATAGGTTACAGTGTTGACATATTTTATTTTGAAATAATAGTGTTGACAAAAAAATAATAATAATTTTAAAAAATTAACTTTAATAATAATTTTACAAAATTAACTTATACCGACCAAACAAAATTTTGAAGCTTAAAATGGAATTGTGATTCATCATTTCAGAACGGAAGAATTATTCCACTAAATTCATTCCATGATTAAACCAAACAACTTTAGATCGGTATGAGATATAGAATCCATATCATCCAAGTATGAGAATGCATACTATTCATTCCGGCTTAGTGAACCAAACGACCCTCTAGAGAGCCACAAGGGCAAGTAATGTGAATCGATCCCAAGATCTCTTGGAACCGAGAGGGAAGCTCTAACCACTTGAGCTATTCCTTGCTCTCAATATTGCACTATTCTAATTTACAGTATGTTCTCATTTATCTCAATTTTTTATAAACAGAGTTAGGCTAAAGTTATTGTTGGATTTATTATCTTTGACTTATGATTTTGTATATGTAAGCGGGATAATCTTGAAGGTTGTAACGCTAGAAATATTGATTTTCTATTGCATTGTTGGTACTTCATAGCTAATGATCAGATGCATAACCAACATTGGAAAGAGTAAGACTAGTATTAAGGAAACTTGTAAGAGCAACTCTAATGGCAAGTCAGTTGTTAAATTAGCTTGTCATGTCACATAAGTTTTTAAGCTAATTGTCATTTTAGCTCCAATGGTTAGCTAGTAACTTACTAGTTATTAAATGGACCACACCTCCTTAATTTACGTTGATAAATTTCATTTTATTTATTCTAATTTGTTTTATTTTAACAAGTTTTTTTCCAGGCAAATTAGCTTGACAAGCCAAGCTAATTGCATTTTCTAGGTCCAATGGTTAAGCTAGTAGCTAGGGATTATTTAATATTGCAAGTAACTCCCTAACTACAACCATTAGAGTTGCTCTAATAAAACTCAAATCATTAGCGCTACTTATCACATCTACTTTTATCTTTCTTTTTAAAATAATAGTTATATATCCTTCACCCTTTCTTACGAATCTAATATTGTTAATTTTATTTTTCCACATTCCTTGTAATTAATATCTTTTATGAGTCTAGTTTAATTCACCCTTGCTTTCAATTACTCTTTCTACTTTTTCATGATATTAATTAAAAAAAATTACTTATTACAGAGTAACAATTTTTATTCGAATTTAATTTTTAACAGCTTATGTATTACACGGGTTAAAAGACTAGTTTCATATTTAATTAACAGAACCTTATAATTTTACTTATACCCACTTTTTTTTTTCTTTTTTTCTTTTTTATTATATTATTATTATTATTTTTTTTATTATTTTTTTTTTATTTTTTAACAAATCACCAGTAATTTCCCAAGCTGTGGGCTTGTGGACTGTGGGGCCTGGCCCATGTGGGGTTGGAAGTAATGGATATTTGGATATGCTTTCGTATATGCTCAAAAAGAAATTATGTGCACTCTTTTTAATTTTATTTTTTTACTTTATTATATCCTTTGGTCTTATCTGGTTCTTTAATTGGAGCTTTGATGTTGAAATTAGTTATTTTATTCTTTATTGGGGTATTTGGGGAAGGGTTAGATCGAGGTGTTAAAAGGTTTGTGACATGGTAACCTACATCTTTGTACAATTTGTACACCAAAAAAAAGGGATAATTTGGATGTAATTACTAATTACTTCATATACTATTGAAATACATATTCATAGTATATAAGATAAAACTTTATATTACACAAGTAGAAAAAAATGTTCAATTATTTCACGACATCCAAATAACTTTCCAAATAAATAATTAAAATAGCTTAAACATTGTGTGAAATACAAAGATTCAACTCCATCTTGTATTAGCGATTAAAAATTAGAGTTTGAGTCACAACTCCAGGCCAGCTTTTATAACTATTATGATAGATTGATAGGTGATGATATGTTGTCACTAATTTATACTGTACAATTAAAACCTAACAAATTATACTAATCATGTAGTGGGATACGAAGTATATAATTACGGATTGATCGTGCATTAGAAGATAAATTAAATATTGTGCTATGTTGAGCTATATCTAGTTTAGTCTATTAATAACTTGATTAATCGAATAGTTGAGTAGAGTACTCGCTAATAAACAAAATCTATGAATAAAGATTATAGTTTTAAGGATCCCCAATAATGTGTATCAACAAAAAGATAAATTCCTACCCTTTTAAACATATAATAATGCTCAAGAAGTCAAAAGGAAAGATGTGTCTTTTATAACATAAATAATTTGGTTAGATCGATTAATGGTGTACAGTTCATGACATACAATAATTATACCTATTTCGTGGAATCGTTGACATTGCTTTATATCAATCTATTCCACTTTTTTTTTTCCTCTTTTTTTTTTTTAATAGAGAATTTATGTTTTTATAAAATTAATCAAAACAATCTAGATCCAAATTTTGTTGATCATAATTAAAATTGTATTAGGCACATTCCAAATCAATACCAACTAACATCTAACATATAGTATTAATTTTAAGCACAATTCAAATATAAAAAAAATTAACATATGAAGTATAATATACGAGTAATACATGTATATTACATATTAGGCTTAAATGAACTTAATCCAAAAACAATAAAAAGACTTAACCCTGAATTTTAGAAACACTATCTATTTATTTATTTTTTCCTGCGAACCACATAAAGCTAGTTTACTATTGGGCCAAGATTTATTTATTACATGTCAATGTTATTTTTGGTATGAATTATATTATTGAAGTTATATTATAATGAGAGTAGTTCATCCTCACCTATCTCAAATAAATTTCATGGAACAATCTTGAAGTATAAATTGGAAAATATAATGCAATTCAAAGTAATAATGCCTCCATGCTATAATTTTGCAAGTGGAACACAATACCTGCACTGTATTGTTCTAACAAAACAATAAAAGTACCATAAATCAAAATTTTAAGCATATAAAAATATGGTATGATTTATTCCAACTTATATATAGTCATGTAATCTAATGATGGCGAAACATTGATTTCATCAACCAGTAGAAGAGTTCATTTCATTTTACTGAAAAAACTTTGAAACATTCTTGCAAAAAAACTAATATTAAAGCATATTCCTCGTTAAATAAATAAATATAAATTCAATTCAGAACGTAGATCTGCATGACACAAATAATCCTCGTACAGAACACATTCATACTTAAAAATAATATAACCTTCCACTTTCAATTATTGATGTCACTTATCAGATCTTGGGAAGAAATATCCTTAAAACATTATAAAATTATGATAATAGCAGTCTTATACTTATGCTTAAGCTGAACACACTTATAAAGTCAACATCTGCAGCCACGACATATCAAATCGAATTTTAAACAAATCTATCATTCAACCACTCTCAAAACCTTCTCTTCCTTATTCATAGAGACAATTAAAGTTCAAACTTAGATCTAGAAAAATAAAAAGGGCCAAAAGGCTAAAATTTGAACAAAAAAAATGTGGGTTAAGAGCTCAATAATCAAAGATTCCTTAGTTGATCCAAGAATATACCAAGCAAATATCCGGACCTTCTTGGGTAAAGTAAAAATGTCCCCTAATAATATGCTCATTGAGTAAAGTATAAACTTTCGTGCCTAAATAATATGCTCTTCAAACTTTTAAC